CTAAACAGTCATGTTAAACATCAACATGTTAGCATTGCCATTTTGAGCATGTTCACGTGCTAATGTTAGCAGAGTGTTGCTAGTAGATCTATCAGGAAAAAGTAGTAAAACCACCCAACTGCCATCCTTCAAAGAAAAAAAATAAAACTTTAATAACACTAAATGTAGTACCATCACTATCAATTTATGGAATGTTCTTTACAAAATAAGGACATTCTTATCTCAGTTGCACTTTTGTTTCTGTACTTTTTGTTTAAAAGCTGTACGCTAAACACAAACACGTTAGCATTGCCACAATGAACATTAGCATGCTAACGTTGGCATATGGGACAGCCTCACAGAGCAGTAAGTATCTTAAGAAATGGTTACTGTTTTTACTCTTTTATATATTAATATTACAGAGAAACACAAGTTTTTAAGCCATGTTGTTAAAAAAACCCAAAAAACTACTGATTTAAAGCATTTCAGTAAATACTGCAGATAGACAACAGCAACATTTTCCTGGTGATTTTGTTTTTCCTAAACAGCAGTATTAGTTTTAAATGCTGTATGTTGTGTATTATTGTTTTTACACCTTTCAGCTGACACTGTTGGTTTAAATGGTCTTTCAGTATTCATTAAAAATCACCGACCTTTGTGAGCTGCTAACATCTAAACCTGTGCAACAGTCAAACAAGCCGCACGGTTCAAATTTCATAAATATTTATTACATATCAATGAACAGAATCAACTACTTTCACAGCAGTGGTCTACAGCACTTTTTTAAAATAACTGCTCAAATAATAATAATAATAATAATAATAATAATATAGTTCAGTTTCATTTGAGGCCACATTTGATACACAAACATTTACAAGTAGTACTTGGCATTAAAAACGATGGCGATACAATATTTTAAGACACTTGGTGTTTTTTTTGTAAATTTTCTTTCATTTTGATATCACAGAGAGGTTCAGCAACAGTCTAAACAGTAAATATAGATTCCAATACAAAAAAAAAAAAACAACAACAAAAAAACAAAACGTGAAAATGCCAAGGGGAGGTAGAAACAAAGAGTACTCGACAGAAATACAGGAGAAATAGGAAAGACATAAGCGGGAGAAGCGGCGTTCCCCCAGTCAGCCACCTTCGTTTAGAGTAATAAACACTAGAGTACCTTTGTAAAAATTCCCCACTACCACCACCACCACCACCTCGGGGTTCTTTTTTTTTTTTCTTCCCTTTTTCTGAGTTGTGTTATAGTGTTGGAGGGATTCACGCTGAGGCAGGCAGAAGGAGAATATAGGAAAGGCGTGAGGGAGGAAGAGGAGGCTCATGCAAGATCTGAAGGCTGCTGTGTTGTGAAACCACCTTACTAAGGCGCTCTCATGCCCACATAACATAGTCAGAACCACTACTCCCAGTTTGGAGCATTCTCCTTTGGTTTGACTGACTGTTAATCTGAACATTATCCCTGTTTCACGTTGGTGTCACACTGACAAACACGACCCATATTACTGATTTGAAGGTGATCACAGTCACCGTCTATGTCGACCCCCAAACTGTTCAAGATGTGTGTCTCTGAGCTGCTTCCTGCTCATCAGGACTCAGCTTGCTTCAAGCTTTTTATCCTGCTGCTGAGTTAATTGCAGGTGATTGTTCCCACCTGGCCTGTGCTGCTGCAGTGCTGATCGCCCACATGAAGCTCCTAAAATGAGAGCCTCTGAAACACCTGGACTAATGTGTGTTTTATGGTCTTTAAGGGTCTGTTTTAAGAATTGTTTTACAATTTAAAGGGGCACTCCACTGATTTTATAAAGGAAGTTGAGTTTAGTTTTGTTTGTCTGAGAAATGAGATTTATGCCACATTCCCATCTTACACTGAAGCGATGGGACAGATTTCAGACTGTAAATTCACAATAGGAGTTGGGTTTAATGCCATCTAAAGTCTGTCTTTGAGGCGATTGTTTAGTTTTCATATGTAATAGTAGATGCCAATTTGGATACAGTTGTATTTATTACTTGGAAGTTGAAGTAATCTCATATGACATGAATGCAGCATAAGATTTTATTTAACACAAAGACTGCTTTACAAACTGGAGACGTAGAGTGTAAAAGAAGTGGACATTCAAGAGGCAGAAAGGGTTTAATGTGAGAATGCAGGATATTGCTGCATCATTTTCGGAGCTCACTCATATTAAAGACGAAAAATCAGGGTTTCTTTTTTTTTTTAAACGTCTGACCCTTCTTAGTCCTCCAACTTTATAGGCCAAATTCACATTATCAAAACAAAAATTGGGGACAAGCAGGAATAAAAATTAGCAGACCTAAAGCTTTTCTCTCTTGACAGATTTGATTTAAAGACAAACAGGTGCCAGTGACTGCCGTCAGACCGAAACAAAAAAAACGTCAGCTTTGTCAAGAATGCATCAGATAATTGATCAGTAAATCAAACCGTGTGCAGGTGTGTCGGCTTTCAAGATGCGTCTCCGCCTGCTGAATTGTGCCATAAGTCATTGTGCCGCTTTAAATCAGTCTGTCACTCGAGAGCAGGGTGAAAACCAGCAGGGCTTCTGGGCCCTGAGAAGATTTCAAATCCTAGAAAACATTGAGTTTAAAAGTAGCAGCTAATGCTACTGAGAGCTGAATCCCTAACAGGGTTATCATGTCCATGTAGGTTCTCATTTTTAGTTCTGTCTTGATGCGAGTCTTATTTGGGTAAAGGTGATGTTTTCCTAGAAATACAATCTTCTAAACAATTATTTTTATTTCTACTTCAATATTATCCATCTGTATCGTCCACATACAGAGAAAGACGAAATTAAAATGAATTCACACTACATGTTATTTGTGTAATTAGTGGTCATGCTTGCTTATTTTTTATTTGTTAACAAAATCCTGCTTTTATTTAATTTTATGCAATATGCTTTATTTTAACTTTAGTTTTTGTTAAAAATTTGTCTTCTTGGTCCATCAAACATACAAAAAGAGGCCCCCCCACACTTCTTCTGTTGTCTCAGGTTGTGGTTTGCTTTCGCTGCTATCTTAGATATCATGTCGCAGACTTCATGGTTTTCAAAGAAGCTATTTTGTGGCGTAGAAAACACAACACTTGTACAGTAGCAAAGACAGGTCATGCAGATTTTAAGGTCAGCTCTTTGTTATGGGGTAAAATGTTTAGTGCATGTGTCTTCGAGAGAGTGCCTCCAGTAAGTGAATTCAAACTCATCGGAGTTGTGGGTCACCATTGTAATCTAATGCGGACTACAATCATGGCTGCTACTGTCAGACACCAGAATACGGTGGCTGTTTCGAGGTGTAGTTCAATGGAGGATGCTGGGAAATGGCACTTGTGGGAGACTTTGCCTCCAGCCCTGTCTACCTGTATACTGTGAATAAGGAGAAGAATAAGGACTAAAATGTGCAGAGAGCATAAAACATCATACTTTTACTAAATATGGGAATAAAATTGATTTTTATAATATATCTATAAATATGCATCACAGGCCAGACGGGCATATACGCCTGCCACCGTGTGCACTTTCATGTATAAACAGATGTACACATACATATGCATATCATACAACATTGGAAAGTGGATCGGAAATAATCACATAATATACAACACATATTAAGCTCCAGCGACTTCAGAGGGAAATGTGAACGCAGAGATTTTTTGTCGTGCCTCGGTGCGCAGGTTTACATTCAGCTTGTGGTTTGGGATCAAACTGTTACTTCAAAGCTGTTGCAGAAGTCTGAAAACACCACGGCATCTTACACAACCTCATCGCCTCTTTGGGTTATTTGCTGCGGGGGGGCAACACAAACACCCAACACACAGTGGCTGAGGGACTGCTCACGAAAACAAACACGCACACAGACATGTGTTCTAACTCCCACTGCACCCATTTTGTCAGATGAACGAGGAGGCCCATGTTACTGGGATATAAACAAACGAAAAGGACAAGAAAAAGGAATTCAACAAACAAATTAAAAACCAAACAATAAAATAATGGTGACAGTACAGGAGTGGGTGGGCAGAGAAGTGCACAATGGGATTGTCTTCACTTTAGGTCCAGGACATCTTCTTCGAAGGACGTGGGGAGAGCGAACGCGCTGGCGAGGGGTGGACTCTCCGCCTGCAGCACCGCCTTCTCCGGCTCGGCCTCCGAACTCGACGAACAATGCAGCTGGACGTCCAGGTCTGCTTCAATGGACTCTGAGGCTAACCTGTCGTGCACACAAAAATAGGGTTTAAGCTCAGAACACTGCGTGACTGTTAAATGTGTTGCTGCCGTTCGATCTGTCACCTGTCACTGTTTGTTGACGTCAGTGCTCGTCCTTTGGGCTCCTCCTCGGTGTTCTTCTTGCTCATCTTTCTCTGTTTGACTGATCCGCTGTCTGATTTTCCACTCGGTTCCTCTGTCAAGCCTTTTGTTGGCACAAGGTAGCAGATAATGAACATGAGTTCCTGAGACATTACTCTGCTTCCCTGATAAGAGGAGTGTTAACATGTGCAGCCTATTTAAAAGCCGGTTAGCACGAACACTGGGAACACAGGAAAACAGCCAGCCTAGCTCTGCTCAAAGTAAACACAGTCTGCCTGTCAGTGCCTCTGAAGTGCTAAAATCTACACGTTATGTGTTTAATATTGTAAAACAAAAGGGGCCACTTCCTGGTGCCAGTTACTTGGAAGTAATCTGAACCAATTTTGGCTGTTAGATTGGAAATCACATCTTGAAAATGGAATTTTAAAAAAAGAGTAAAAAAAGTTTGATCACATAATCCAGTGTTGGTTTTGATTTGGATCAAACTTTCAGGATGTGCTGTTGAAAACTTTTTAGTCGGATTAGGATAACTGTGATTCTAAAATTCTGGATTACCTTGATGCCAGCAGGAAATTAGATTTAGGGTGGATTTTCACAACCAAATGTAATAAAACCTTAAAATTGGTCCCATAATACATTTAGATAATGTAGAATATTCAATTGAACGGGGGTGTTTATACACCTCTATCCTGCTGTTTTCTGTCTCTTCAAATAAAAACAATTAAAGTGACCACATGCTCACTATTGTACTTGTTCTTTACATAAATAAAAGTCTACATTGTGGTATGTAGCCCCATTTACAGCACTGGCAATCTAGATTTGGTGGTTTAGAAAGTTTGNTTGTTATTCTCTTTTTGGATGCATTTTAAAAATGATATGAGCAGCTCCAGAAAAATGCTGCTTTCATATTATTAACACCAGGAAGCCAAGCGGCACGCTCCTTCGTTTTACCATTTTGTGTATGTTTTTGCTCAAACAGAAACTCTCTTTGATCATTTTGTGTTTCTTCGGGGTTGTTTCACATCTCTGTGTAGCTACATAATGTCTCTGTTTAGTTGTTTTGTGTCTTTTTGTTGTTGTTTTGCATCTTCCATTTAGTCATTTGGTGTCTCTTTAGGGTTGTTAGACTCTCTTTTTAGACATTTTGTGTTTCAATGTCATCATCTGATTCATGATGATGTGACACTAAAATCCAGCTTCCGTCTGACTTTGTACTGCAGCTACGTTTCAGAGGGCAACTACAAGCTACTAACAATTATTTTCTTTTTTTTTAAATTATCGGAGCTGTTCCAAAAAACTGCTGCTTACGCTTTAATAACATGAGAAAGCCCCCACGGTCAGCTGTTCTGATGTTGTTTTGTATTACTTTTTAACCATTTTGCATCTTCTTGTGCTTATTTTACATCTCTTTGCAGTTGTTTTTACTTCTCTTTGTGTCAGATTTGGGCTTTTTCACAGTTGTTTTGCACCTCTGTGGCTAGTTTACATCTCTATTGAGTCATTTAGTAACTCTTTGTGTTTGATTTACGTCTCAGTTTAGTCTTTTGTGTCTGCTTGTGTTTGATTTACGTCTCGGTTTAGTCTTTTGTGTCTGTTTGTGGTTGATTTACATCTCGGTTTAGTCTTTTGTGTCTGTTTGTGGTTGAACTGCTTAGTTGTTTATTTGTCTTTGTGGCTGATTTCGGTCTCTGTTTAGTCGTATGTCTTTGTGGTTGACTTATGTCTTTGCTTGCTCATTTACTGTCTCTTTGTGGTCATTTGGCATGTCAGTTTAAACATTTAGTCATTTTTGTGGTTTTGAATTCTTTTGGATGTTTGTTTTCTTGAATCATTGTGGTCATTTGATGACGTCTTAAACAAGAAAAGAGTCACTTTATACAGAAATTCGCTTCCAAGGGCTCAATAGTTCAACACTAAATGATAAAATTCACTTTGAGTTAATACTGCAGCTACATTTTAGAGAACATTGTACTTGAGCTTTTAGAAATGATACCAGCTACTACTATACATCAGGAATAATAGCTAGAAAATCTAAAGAAAAGAAAAGCAACACAGAAAGTGAAATCTTTTGCTACTTTTAGAGCACTTTGTTACTGACACAGAAGCAACCATTTGGATGACTTTAACAGGGATTTCCACCTACAGCGTGGTGTCATAACTTCTACTCATTAAAAAAAAAAAAAAAGAAAAGAAAGAAAACTCCACCGCTGCACATGTGAAGCGGAGCCTCGGGGCATCCACTAGTGGCGTGCCAAGCAATCTCCTGCTCAAGTCTGGGAATCACAGAAACGCCTGCTGTTCAACCTGTCATCATCATCATTTGGGTAAGTGGGTGGAGGCATATTCCGACGGTACAAAAAAAGCGTTCCCTCCGGCTTCACTCTCACTTTCAGCAGCTTTACGCACGCACCAAGCTCGGAGCTCTTCTCTGATTTCACCGCGGCTCACTGTGGATGATTAAAAACAAAACCCCTAAAGAAAAGACACAGCAATGGCAGTGATGATAAGAAACGAGGTGTTCTCCTGTTTTGTTTTCTACGGCGTGCTCCTGGTGGTTAAAATGTACGTTATAGCGATCATAACGGGACAAGTGAGGCTGCGTAAAAAGGTGAGTGGCTTACAAAAAGATTGTTTTGCAGTCGAAGAATGCAGTTTTAATTTACTCTCAGCGCTGGTTAAATACATTTTTACTCATGCAAAGTTGTTTTTTTTCCCTTGACAGGCTTTTGCCAACCCAGAGGACGCACTGAGACACGGAGGTTTACAGTATCATAGAGAGGATCCATACGTGGAGAGGTGCAGGAGGTGAGCGCACAAAGTTTGACTCAAGGAGCTGTCATGGCATGCTTTTATTTTGTAGAAAAAACACAAAGCATAAATCCTCAACACAGAAAAATGACCCATGAGTGTAGGACTATTATTGAATTTCTTACACCTGATGCATCAGTATTTAAGGATCACTTTGCAGCCAGTATACCTTTGTACTGGTAAGATGTCATATTTTATGTAATGTCAGCCGTAGCAAAAAGATTCTACAGTTTACTTTTTGTTTTTGCGAAATAGACGCAGAAAGTGGTTTGTAATGAAAACACTTAAGTACAAGAGCCACTAATGTGTATTTACAGGGAACGTTCCAACACTGTGAGCATCTTTAGATCTGTATTATGCAGTTCCCGTACTCGCTTAGTTTCAGTAAAAGGTTGAGCATGCTCAGTGTTCAAGAGGTTTCTACAGCTGCCTATGTGCATTCAATGTACATATCCAAGTGGCGATTCCCAGTTTTTCCCAGGCGAATTTTTCCATTTATGAGGAACTTTTCAGTGTGAAAACATGCTTTCCTCTAGTGACTTCCAATAAGACTTGGTAAACTCTAGATGTGCCCGACTGCTTTGTTTTAACTTGTCTGAAAATGATCCGTGACATAAGAAGGGAGAGCAGATGTTTTTCTCGTGAAAAGTTTTCCTTCTGTTTTTTTAGTGTGCAGTGAGAAACAAATCCTGACATAATTTTTTTTGAAAATCTGGCTTAGTGAATGGTTTGTTCTGTCCGCAAGCCTTTTATGTGTCATTCCTGCAACAAGTTCATAGATTGGCAGGTTTCCTAGACTAACATTGTTAAAAAGTTGTTCTTAGTGGGTGGAGCGGAAGCAGGAAAATAGTGTTGCTGATTAATAGTCTGGGCTGGTAAAAATGAGAAAGTTACAGGCTGCTGTGTGATTCATATAAGATGAGCTAGACTGGATTAAAATGATGCAGCAGCAAGATGATGGAATCCCAGTATTTCATAAGCAAGGATTTCACTGTCCAAATCATAAATACTTTGGAAATTCACACAGGAAATTATAGTCCACAATTCAAATGAGTCATTCACATGACTGAGATTTTTTTTTACAACATATCTTCATTTCACTGCATGATAGGTAGCTGAGTCAGCATCCAGGAGATTGAGAACAGATGTGTGTGTTGGCATTGATATACTGATTTTTTCCCCTTTTTCTACAGAGCTCATATTAACGACTTGGAGAACATCCTCCCCTTCCTCTTTCTGGGTGCCATCTACTCTATGACTGGACCTTCCCTGGCAGTGGCCCGCCTTCACTTCCTGGTCTTCTTCATGGGCCGTGTGCTGCACAGCGTCGCCTACCTGTTGGCCCTGCGAGCGCCGACCCGCTCTCTGGCCTACACTGTCGCACAGATACCTTGTGTTTCCATGGCTCTGCAGATCCTAACATCAGTTGCGGCGTACGCCTAAATATCCACCAAGTAGGGACCGAACTCGAGGGGTGAAAAACTCTGGGTGAAAAGATGGCTACGGTGGTTATGATTTGTAGCCCGTGTCAGAGGGAGCAGGAGGAGGATCGCTTGAGGGGCCTCCTGGGAAGACAAGAATGTCAGTGCAATATAAGGTGTGCGGTTACACTAGTGCTGGGTTTCGTGAGATTCTGTCAGTATTTTTATTTTGATATTTACAAATGTGACAAGGTCTTAAAAGATATCTGAAGTTGACATCATATGCTGTATTTCAAATGAAGGTTGTTGCTCGTTTTAAACCAGGACTTTGTTGGAATTCAAAGCTCACTGACGGACAGTTGTAGACATTTAGCGTAAGCCACTTTGGAATATTTTTCCAGCGCTGCACTGTATGTTGATCCCTGAGCCCTTTTGTGTTTACACACACAACACAGACCACCATTCGTGTGGTTTCGTATCCCCATCGTGGCTTCATCTGTTTCCTGTGCGGATTTTCCATCTGTTGTGTTAACATTTGTTCGGGTTATGTTCAACAAAACCATAATGGCTGATGACATGAGGACTGACGGGGCGGTGGAAAGTCTTACCTGATGCCCCGTCTGTATGAGTGAGACTGTTTCTCAAATAACCTAAGCAGGAGGAGCCGCTTGGACTGAGAAACAAATATCTCGCAACAACCTGCAGAGAAAGATTTTATGACATGTAATATTGTAATTTTATCTGTGAAAATGTATTTTGAGGCTATTTTTTTGAAAGGTTTTAATGATAATTTATTCAATTTAATGTATGCAGTCAGGGTTTTGACTCCCCAGATACTTTTTGTAGGCAATAAAACAATTCACAACCAAGCTGGCCCTATTTTTGCTTGAAAACGTATGATTTAGATCATTCTTGGCTTGACCTGGTTCTGCAGAGACACTGTGTTCCGGTGTTAAGGGGACGGGGCCTCACTTTGTGTGTGCAAGTGAGATGATCCAGAAGTCCACGGCAGAGTTCCAGCATTCCTCCACCTCTTATGTAAGACCTGTGGCTGTGCAGTGTACACTATTGTGCTGGGAGGCCATATAGACATTTTTACAGTCACCAGAGTGTTCAGCTGTGCATTGAAGCTGAATGCAATTACAGTACGTGTCGTCAAAACTGAAACCCACCTATTATCACATCACATTCAGCTGGCTTTTTTTCCCTCACTCAGTCATCCAGTTTAAAATTGTCATACTCCCAGTAATCCCATTTCCAGTTATTTTCCGACCAGTGATGATGACTAAGCTTGAACTTACAAAGCTGGAATTTTGGGGTGATTATGGAGTTTTTTTTAAATACAAAAGAAATATAACAAACCCTGAGAAGGTGGGAGGATAGGGAAAATCCGTTGCTCTGACTGAATGAGTATTAACAATACATATAATCTGGGTGAAACATAAAGCTGACATGCCAGAGAGAGGGGTGTGTCTATATCCTGTGTATGCGTCAGCGTTGTGGTCGCCTCAACGTGCCTTTTTCCCTTCAGGGTGAATGGAAATAAAACTCGTGACCTCCTTCCTATACTCCTCACTTTTCAGACAACAAAGAAGTTTAGCTTAACCTTTTCTCGTGTTTTTCCTGCCAAAACTCCTTCAGATGCTTTGTTTCCATTGCCGCTGGCTGTTTCACATCAAGAGATCGGTTTATGTGGAACCAGACTGTCTGTTGTTCAGGAGGTGTAGGTTCACCTCTGGGTGAGCCTAATTCAGGAAGCAAGTACCTGGATAAAAAAAATCTTTGTTTTGAGGATTTCACCATAATACAGCTATGCATCAATACTTAGCCCCACCTTGTGGCCACACGCAGCACTACTGAGCAGTCAGGTGGCTCCAGCTTTCATCATCTAAGTGAACAAATTGTGTGGCTGCGTGGGTAATCACACCTGAGCTTCAAATTAATGTACAAGGCAGCACAGATGGCACTCAGTAAGATCACAGGCTGTCACGTTCTGTTTTTGGATGATTATAGTAAATAACAGTGGATTTACAGATGCAGACATGCTTTGATCTGGCAGGAACGACCTGAAATCATATTTAATCACGTCTCTGCAATCTGAATTAATGTTAAATAATGAGTACTTTAAAAAAAAGAAAAAATTATATCATTACTCCAGGTCTTTCAGGACTATGCACCAAATATGTTACCTTATTTAAGTGTTGTCTGTTTACATGCTAATTTATTGAACTTAAACATCCATTTTAAAGCAGCTACTGTGGTATTCTGGGTGAAGTTTGTCTCAGTTTATCCTCTCAGTCTGAACAGATAGCGCTTGAACTTCAAAGTACAGCTGCTCCTGTCTGAAGCACTTAAGGCCAGAGGGAGTACAAAGATATGAGGCTGCTTCCAAAAAAGGAATGAAATTCAATCCTTACTTTCATTGTAGCTTGGATTATTTTTTATGATTGTGAAAAGGGAAAACCGTGACCTCTCTCCATGCATGGTAAACACAAGGCCCTTGACAGAAATGTTAGGATTCTGGCAAACAGCTGTGGTCAGCCTTTGCCAGTTTCAGCAAGGTCATGCAAGTCCATCGCAGTGGAGTTCTGGATAACTTTGTGGAAAACTTGCAGGGGGCTGGAGCTAGCACCAGGTGGGAGGCAGGGTACAGGTCACCAGTCTCCCCCAGGACCAACACAGAAGGTCAGACAAATACTCATTCTGACCTACAGCCAATTTAGAATCTCTATTTAATCTTCTATGAATGTCTTTGGATTGTGAGAGGAAGCTAGAGCACATGGAGGAAACCCACGCTGCCACAAGGAGAACAGCTGACCAGCAGATCTGAACTCACAACCTTCTTGGTGTGAGGCGACAGGGCAAGTATGAAGAAACCTCATTTCAAGATATCATAGAAATACACAAAAGTCAAAAGGCAACTTTACAACAGATTTCGTTAAAGGACCTGACTGCAAGTTTGTGTTAACACTTTATAAGGTTACTGCAACTGTTGGACAGAAACCATAA